TGAGAAGTTCATTGGCTTCCAAATGCATTTGATTGTCTCCTATAATGCCCTGCAGGGCACAGGCACAGGTTATTTGCAACACTGCCTACCTCCAATTGCACATCTCAACAGAGCCATCAGATCCCATCTATTAAAGCATGCCATGTGGCAGGAGCTAGGACTTGGGTCTTCTCTGTCAAAGTGTCTACCTTGTAGAATTACATTCCCTCAGAGATCTAGAAGGCACCAATCATTTTGTAAAGCATTGCAGAACTGGTTGTTCTGCCAGGCTTTTGGGCCAGGAAGTGAAGCAAGCCTTCTCGGCTAATCCATTTGATTCCACTGTTCAAACTAGTAAGGGAATGTTCTTAAGCGGTACAAATTTATTTTGTTTTTTTCTGATTACCTATATTGTGGTTTGGTTTGGTTTGGTTTTGAGTCATTGTTCACCACCTATAGCCATTGTATTGCCAGGTGGGCAGCTATATATGTTGTTAAACTTTTAAAAAGTCCTACTGAATCAGGCCAAAACTCATCTTAATGGGCTTGGTTTTTCATAGCAGCCAAGCAGGTACTTCTGGGATGCTGACAAGCAGGAGATAGATACATATGCATCTACAGTACCAGTGCTGTTGTTTGAAAGCATACTGCCTCAATCTGAACCTTCAGGTTCAATATTTTTGATAGACCTATCCACTGGTTTCTGGCATGAATCATAGATGACTGAAGATGTCTTCACAAACCAACAGAGATGATGACCACTCTACAGAACAAAAGACTGGTAAGTAGATTAGTTCTTAGAATTTCTCCGGATAAGGAGATCAGATCATCCAAGAGTGCTTTGAATAGCAGCTTCTCCTGAAGAGACTGTAAAACAGCCTCCTCCCACAAATTTGAGCACCAGGAGCTGAGGGAAACAACACCTTTGTTCTTAGCAGTGGCAGAGCCTTTCAGAAGGACAGAAAGCCAATCTTTCTCACTTTTCAATCACTTTTGGAAATATTCATTTTAATTACAGTACTTTATGGATATTATAAAATGGCGAGCTGAACTTGACGCCTGGTGAGTTTTACTTTCTTCTTCAGATTTAAGGAATTTTAAATAGAGTCTCAAGAATTAACAATTATATACTATTGGCAAAAAAAGGATTTTTTAAAGAAATATATTTGATTTTATAAAAAAAGTTAAAATACACAAACAAGACATCAAAATGCATTAAAAACACATATGCACATATAATTCCCTCTAGCTGAATACTGATAAAAATATTACAGCAATATTAGTTCCCACTCCTTGGGAAACAGGCCCCAAAATTTTTACACTAATAATTCTATTTGCAGATTATTAACCTGTCATCGATCTACTATATTAATGGCAAAATAGTTAACAGTAGAACAATAATGAAAAAAGGCAAGATTAAAATTTCAAAACCCTCTGTTATTGTAAAAAGAAAGTTTACCATGGCTTCTTATCTATCCCAAATTATCCCAATAGTTAACACTGATTCATCCTAGATCACATATCAACATTTGTTTCTTAATATAATCTCTTATCAATTATTGTCCGGTTAAATATAATAAGACCATTCTCCAAAGTTGATCTATCTTCCCAAAAAAAATCCAGATGAAGTTATTTTCCAATTAAGTATGATAAATCCATTCCCCAATTGTCTTCAGTCCTCTTAGGAAAAACCAATTCATCACTTGGCTCCACTCAGTCCGTTTTTCTGCTTTGTAAAGAATGCAGGCTTGAATTTCAGGAAGGCATGTACAATCCAATCAGTTCTGTAAAATTTTTATTTGCTGCAGCTGCCAAAAAGGCCAACACAGTGCTAGGCTGCATTAACAGAGGGATAGAATCAAGATCAAGTGAAGTATTAATACCACTTTACAATGCCTTGGTAAGGCCACACTTGGAATACTGCATCCAGTTTTGGTCACCACGATGTAAAAAAGATGTTGAGACTCTAGAAAGAGTACAGAGAAGAGCAACAAAGATGATCAGGGGACTGGAGGCCAAAGCATATAAGGAAAGGCTGCTGGAATTGGGTATGTCTAGTTTAATGAA